AAGTTTTCGACACGTTTGTCTCTGTGATATAATTCATTGGTGGCTCGGGGCGGCAGGCGGTGCACGGGGGCAGGTCGATACAGCCACAGCGCAGGTTACAATTAGGCCAGAATTAATCAGAGCCAGCAGCTTGTTTTTGGCTAAATAATGGAGGGGACAAATCCTGCTGCCGCCTGGAAACCAACACGGCAAGAGAGAAACCTCAACCCCAGCCCGAGTCTTGCGAATCAATCAAAAGGCTTTTATGGAGATGCTGTAGGAATGAGCGCGATTGTGGAAAACAGAGCAGTGATAAATGCGGCGCTGAAGGAGAGTGCGCACAAATCAATAGAAGATGATTCATTTCTGGCGGGTGTAATGGTAGCGCCGCGGTCCCCAGAGGAAGTCCAGTGCCGTGGTGTGTGTGTGTGTGTGTGTGTGTGTGTACGTGTGTGTGTGTGTGTGTGTGGGGTGGTGCCAATGATCAGGCGACAAAGGGGAAAACATAACAAATCACGGATGCTAACTGGAGGCCCGTGAGCCGGCGCTATGTTTAGACAAAGATGGCGTGTATTTATTGTCATTTCTGGGTTCAGGGCGGGACGATGAGAGATGGTTGTTCAGTTAGAAGTGGTCTGAGGGAAGGGGGGGACTGTGAGAGGCCTGGAAGCTCCCTCAGATGTGACTGGAGGACTTGGGGGACTATTAGGCACATAAACAGCAGCTAAATGTAGTTATTTAGTTCTTATTTTTTATTTTAATTCGACACATTTATTAATATGTGTCTATTTATATTTGCCAGATACAGCCATGATCAACAAACAGCAAACATATTTTAAAGGTTTCACGTCCATAAACTGAAGGATCTATAGCAGCTACAGTAAACCTGTCCCGTCAGACCTCTGAAGCTAAGCAGGGCAGGGCTTGGTTAGTACTGTGATGTGTCCTTAGGCAAGACGCTTCACCCACACATCCTAGAATGAGTCTGGTGTGTGTGTGGTTGATGGTGGTCAGAGGGACCAGGGCACATGAGTTGTTTTGCTTCTATCAGTGTGCCCCAGGGCAGATGTGGCTACAGTAGTAGTTTATCACCACTGTGTTTGGAGATCCAGAAAAGTGCTGTGTAAAAAGGTGCTTTATTATTATTGTATCATTATAAACTCTCGCTGCTGTTCACATAAACACACCAGGAAGTAGGAATGTCTGCAGAGTTACAGCCGATAGAGCTGTGTCCAAAATCAGTGAAAAAGTGACTGTCTGAACAAAAAACATGAAGGATTCATGAACCAGCCAAAGTTATGTACCTCAGCTTTAATAAGTAATGTAGTAGTTCTGTCCCTAAAGCTTAACCACGCTCCGGAAAGCCCCGGGACAAAACTTAATCATAACTAAATATATATAATCCTGCTGTGAAGTTTCAGCTGGTTTCATCACTTAACAAACGTTTAATGAGCGCCGCGGCCGGATTTAATCTTTCTTAAATACTTGTCTTTCATTTGGGTGAAACTGGAAACAAACTGAACTGTTCCTGAACCAGAAGTAAAGCAGAAGTTTAATGGTCCAATCCAGGTCAGAGAACAGGGAAACAAATGTGCTGCTACTGGACCATAAGTGCAGCGGACATGGGATCGCTAAACAGTTCATAATGATAATGATAATAATAATAATAATAAAAATAATAATAATAATAATAATAATTAATTGGTTTTATACAACGCTTTTTTGGACACTCAAAGACAATTTACATGTCATTATTCATTCACTCCATACTGTGGTGATAAACTACTACTGTAGCCACAGCTGCCCTGGGGCACACTGACAGAAGCGAGGCAACCAGTCTGTGCCATCGGCCCCTCCCACCACCACCAACCATTCACACACACACCAGACTCATTCTAATGTGGGGGAAGTGTCTTGCCTAAGGACACAACGGCAGTTTGGCACTTTACAGCCACATCCGCCCCACTGTGGCTGGTGTTCCCAGAGGTTAAGTGTCTTGCCCAAGGACAGAACAAGTGGGGGGTCGGTGGAGAAAGTCTTGTGGTGGGCTCGAACCTACAACCTTCAGGCTCAAAGGCCAGTGCTGGATTCTCTTGGTCTCTCACTGTAGGGAACACGGCCTCTGCATTTGACCCATCCTTCAGTGCCTCTTTCAATCAATCCATTTTTATTCATTGAACCCTTTATTAAACTCAAAACGATCAAAGTGCTTCACAATAAAATCACATCAAATCCATTTAAAACATTTATACCAATAAAAAATAAAAGTTAAAAAGTATTAAACAGATTGAACGCAGAAAATGCAATAAGAAGAAGCACGTAAAGATTGAGAAGTGAGAGCGCTAACCACAATTCTCTCCCTTTTAACCATCCTTTCAAATAGTGGATATTTTCAGCACCACGGAGAGCTCCCTTCTCTTCAGCAGCTGCACTGAAGCTTCCAGAAGTCACACACTTTTGAGTTGCTACTGTACTATAGTTACACAATGGAATGTTTTCCTAACATGTTTTTTTTTGTTCCTGTCTGCAGCTTGTGTATTTAGTTTTCTACTGCATGGTTTGTGGGTTGTTAGTCTTTGTGTGCATGTTGTGTGTGTTATGTTATGTATTGTATTTTTGTATGTACATATTGTGACTCTGTGTTGTCTGAAATCAAAACAAAATAATAATAATAATAATAGTAGGGCCACAGTAGCTTAGTTGGTGGAGCATCAGCCTTTGGAACTGGAGGTCGTGGGTTCGAGTCCACCATAAGACCTACTCCAACTACTCCCACTAATGTCTACTGTAGTTGTGTCCTTGGGCAAGATACTTAAACCCCCCTGACCCAGAAAAGGACTGATAAAGGGGTTAAAAATGAAAGAATGATTGAATAAATGATAATAATCGTTAAACACAGCCTTGGATGAAACCAAACTGACACATCCGCGGTCTTCCTTCTACGATCTTAGGTCTTGTTCTGAACCCAACCTGATTCCTGCTGTCGCTGTTTGAGGCTGAGGTTGACTTTGTGATTCTGAAACATTTGTCTCCTGTGCGTTGCCAGTTCCGTGGATCGCAGAGTTTGCTGTAGACTTGACAGGAGCTAAACCCATCTGAGCAGCGTCAACACAGATCCACGACTACAGCCCTGGCTGCTCCCGCTGACACCACCGTCGCCGTGTTGCCAGTTGGCGCCTGATCCAACTTTTATGTAAATGTAATCAGTGTGGAATTACGGCTCATGCTACAGCGGGATCAAGAGGATCACTGCCTCCACAAAAACAACTTCATCATATATTTAATTAAGAGACTACGACAATAAAGATGTGAGTGAATGAAAAGGAGCAGTTTAGAAAGAATGTTCCAAATGATGGATTGGAAAAGCCTTGAATGCCCCGGGGCAGCTGTGGCCACTCTACAGCAGGAACTCAGTACATTATATAGTTCAAAGGTTCTGTATTTAAATTTACTTGTTTCACCCAAAGTGAGAATTTCTTTGTTGTGATGTTATTTACAGTTTTTGTTTTAACTTTGTACATTTTGTTTCATACAATAATGAGATTCAGATTCATGTATTTGCCATTTGCAGCAAATCCACATTGGAATACATTTGTAAAAGTCCACAGTTTGAACAGAAAAAGCACAAGATAAATAACAAGATCAAAAGCACAGAAATAAAACAAACAATAATGCGTCGGTTTTATATAAAGCGCTTATTTGGACGCTCAAAGATGCTTCACATCATTATTCTTTCTCTCCATAAACTACTGTAGCCACAGCTGCCCTGGGGCACACTGACAGAAGCGAGGCAACCAGCCTGTGCCATCGGCCCCTCCCACCACCACCAACCACTCACACACACACACCAGACTCATTCTAATGTGGGGGAAGTGTCTTGCCTAAGGACACAACTACAGTTTGGCACTTTACAGCCGCCCCACTGTGGCACTCATTATAATGTTAGATATATCAAACATGTTGGTTGTAGGTCTGAGCTGCTGCAGCTGTCAAACGCTGTGCATACACTGTAAAATACAGCTGCAGAGGACACTGAGGAACAGGAACAGGACTTAGGGCTACGGGAGACCAGAGAGAAACCAGAGAAAGACCAGAGAGAGACCAGAGAAAGACCAGAGAGAGACCAGAGAGAGACCAGAGAAAGACCAGAGAGAGACCAGAGAGAGAGACCAGAGAAAGACCAGAGAGAGACCAGAGAGAGAGACCAGAGAAAGACCAGAGAGAGACCAGAGAGAGTCCAGAGAGAGACCAGAGAAAGACCAGAGAAAGACCAGAGAGAGAGACCAGAGAGAGACCAGAGTGAGACCAGAGAGAGACCAGAGAGAGAGACCAGAGAAAGACCAGTGAGAGACCAGAGAGAGTCCAGAGAGAGACCAAAGAAAGACCAGAGAGAGACCAGAGAAAGACCAGAGAGAGAGACCAGAGAGAGACCAGAGTGAGACCAGAGAGAGATCAGAGAGAGACCAGAGAGAGAGACCAGAGAGAGAGACCAGAGAGAGACCAGATAGGGACCAGAGAGACCAGAGAGGGACCAGAGAGACCAGAGAGGGACCAGAGAGAGAGACCAGAGAGAGACCAGAGAGAGACCAGAGTTAGACCAGGGAGAGAGACAGGCAGGTTTTGATGTAGTTGTAGTTTATTGTCTTTGATCTTTATGAACAATAAATCTTAGGTCATATGAACTAAAGTATATTAAGAATTGCAGTCCTGATTAATGCCTGAGCAAAAGGGGTTAGCCTAAATATTTTACATTTCAAACATAAGAAGTCCACAAAACCTTATCCCCAAATTACAATTCACCATTTCCCGTTCATAAATGATGTCTTTCAGGCCACGAGGACAGACAAATGAAAGTCCTCCGTGCCCTTGCATCACTCTTATTTTTCATCATTCAAATTAATTATGCAGAATTTAAGGACAATAGACGTCTGGTGATAAATGTTACCCATATTAAGCAGCGTTTGCTCAGAGATGATTGGCTGCTGCGGCTGTAATCAGGTGAAGTGTGCACCTAAATTATCTCAGGGGAATGTAAGTGATGAGCCCCACGCTCCCAGCTCCGCACAGGCCCCCAGGGACCAGCCGGTGTGAAGTCTCAGCACAATCCGCCAGGTTTTAGCTTTCTGAGCGTGACACAATGAGGTTAGCGTCTGTGCGATACGTGATGGTGTTCCTTAGACGGGTTTAGGTTAGATGTAGAGTCCAGGCCTGGCTCACAGGTGGGAGGACCATGGACTCCCAGCACTTTGAGTTGCCTTGTGTATGAATTGTGCTATACAAATAAACTTGCCTTGCCTTGCCTAATCATATATCTATTGTAATGTCTGGATCTATAATGATATCTGGATCTATTGTAATGTCTGGATCTATAATGATATCTGGATCTATTGTAATGTCTGGATCTATAATGATATCTGGATCTATTGTAATGTCTGGATCTATAATGATATCTGGATCTATTGTAATGTCTGGATCTATAATTTATTGTGTTAGCAGTGGGTTTTTTTTTTTACCATTTCATCAGTGGTTGTTGTACAGCTTACGAGAAGTTTGTAATGCTAATACTAATGCTAATGTTAGCATACGCATCAGATCGCAAATAATAATAATCAGTGGGATGAGAGCGTAGGGGAAATGAGAAGCCTGTAAGCGAGTTGGGGGCGGGGCTAAACAATCAAATTGAAACAAAAAAAACCTGCAGAAACGGGAATAGCTCCTTTAAGATAAGCTAGAAAAAAGTAAAAGAGACAGAACTGAACAAATCCAAATGTATTCCCTTCACGTAAGAAAAGTTAAAGGCCTTTCACTTTTCCTGCTAAAGGCCTGTGATTGTTTTGTTTCCAGAAAGGTTGGGCCATTTTTTCCAGTGAAACAGAAGTCTGTGCTTGTGTTGAAAGCTGAGGTCAGAGCAGGTGGAGTCACATCTGCCCTGGGGCTGATTACAAAGGAGAATAGATCATCATTCACTGTGTCATTGAGTGAGTAAAACCGGGTACGTTTTTCTTTCTGAAGATCCAGAATCCAGACTTTCTTCTGAAAGTCTGACCACACAACACCGACCACACAACACCGACCACACAACAACACGGCCGACCACACAACAACACGACCGACCACACAACAACACGACCGACCACACAACACCACCACCACACAACACCGACCACACAACAACACGGCCGACCACACAACAACACGACCGACCACACAACAACACGACCGACCACACACACACACACAACCGACCACACAACAACACGCCGACCACACAACAACACAGCCGACCACACAACAACAACACAGCCGACCACACAACAACACACCGACCACACAACAACACGACCGACCACACAACAACACGACCGACCACACAACAACACAGCCGACCACACAACAACACACGACCGACCACAACACAACACACCACACAACAACACGACCGACCACACAACAACACAGCCGACCACACAACAACACGACCGACCACACAACAACACACCGACCACACAACAACACGGCCGACCACACAACAACACACCGACCACACAACAACACGACCGACCACACAACAACACGACCGACCACACAACAACACAACCGACCACACAACAACACAGCCGACCACACAACAACACAGCCGACCACACAACAACACAGCCGACCACACAACAACACGACCGACCACACAACAACACGACCGACCACACAACAACACAGCCGACCACACAACAACACAGCCGACCACACAACAACACAGCCGACCACACAACAACACAGCCGACGACCACACACACAACACGACCGACCACACAACAACACGACCGACCACACAACAACACGACCGACCACACAACAACACAGCCGACCACACAACAACACAGCCGACCACACAACAACACGACCGACCACACAACAACACACCGACCACACAACAACACGACCGACCACACAACAACACGACACGACCACACAACAACACGACCGACCACACAACAACACAGCCGACCACACAACAACACGACCGACCACACAACAACACGACCGACCACACAACAACACGACCGACCACACAACAACACGACCGACCACACAACATCACAGCCGACCACACAACAACACGGCCGACCACACAACAACACAGCCGACCACACAACAACACGACCGACCACACAACAACACGACCGACCACACAACAACACGGCCGACCACACAACAACACAGCCGACCACACAACAACACGACCGACCACACAACAACACGACCGACCACACAACAACACGGCCGACCACACAACAACACAGCCGACCACACAACAACACGACCGACCACACACAACAACACAACCGACCACACAACAACACGACCGACCACACAACAACACGACCGACCACATAACAACACAGCCGACCACACAACACCACAACAACAACCGACCACACAACAACACAACCGACCACACAACAACACGACCGACCACACAACAACACCGACCGACCACACAACAACACGGCCGACCACACAACAACACGCCGACCACACACACAACACAGCCGACCACACAACAACACACACCGACCACACAACAACACGACCGACCACACAACAACACGACCGAACACACACAACAACAACGGCCGACCACACAACAACACGCCGACACACAACAACACAGCCGACCACACAACAACACACCGACCGACACAACAACAACACACAACCGACCACACACAACAACACGACCGACCACACAACACACCGACCACACAACACACCGACCGACACACAACAACACGACCGACACACACAACAACACGACCGACCACACAACAACACGACCGACCACACAACAACACGACCGACCACACAACAACACGACCGACCACACACAACACGACCGACCACACAACAACACGACCGACCACACAACAACACGACCGACCACACAACAACACGACCGACCACACAACAACACACCGACCACACAACAACACACGACCACACAACAACACGACCGACCACACAACAACACGACCGACCACACAACAACACACCGACCACACAACAACACACCGACCACACAACAACACGCCGACCACACAACAACACGACCGACCACACAACAACACACCGACACACAACAACACGACCGACCACACAACAACACAACCGACCACACAACAACACGCCGACCACACAACAACACGACCGACCACACAACAACACGACGACACACAACAACACGACCGACCACACAACACACACGACCGACCACACAACAACACGACCGACCACACAACAACACACGACCACCAACAACACACCGACCACACAACAACACGACCGACCACACAACAACACGACCGACCACACAACAACACACGACCGACCACACAACAACACGACCGACCACACAACAACACACAACAACAACACGACCGACCACACAACAACACGACCGACCACACAACAACACGACCGACCACACAACAACACGACCGACCACACAACAACACGACCGACCACACAACAACACGACCGACCACACAACAACACACGACCGACCACACAACAACACACCGACCACACACAAACAACACACGACCAACACACCACACACACAACACGACCGACCACACAACAACACGACCGACCACACACAACAACACGACCGACCACACAACAACACGACCGACCACACAACACACACACACAACCGACCGACCACACAACACACCGACCACACACACACACACAGCCGACCACACAACAACACAGCCGACCACACAACAACACGACCACACACACAACACGACCGACCACACAACAACACGACCGACCACACAACAACACGACCGACCACACAACAACACGACCGACCACACAACACACACGACCGACCACACAACAACACGACCGACCACACAACAACACGCCGACCACACAAACAACACGACCGACCACACAACAACACGCCGACCACACAACAACACGACCGACCACACAACAACACGACCGACCACACAACAACACGACCGACCACACAACAACACGACCGACCACACAACAACACGCCGACCACACAACAACACGACCGACCACACAACAACACAGCCGACCACACAACAACACGACCGACCACACAACACACGCCGACACACAACACACGACCGACCACACAACAACACGACCGACCACACAACAACACGACCGACCACACACACAACACACGACCGACCACACAACAACACGACCGACCACACAACAACACACGACCGACCACACAACAACACAGCCGACCACACAACAACACGACCGACCACACAACAACACAGCCGACCACACAACAACACAGCCGACCACACAAAACACAGCCGACCACACAACAACACAGCCGACCACACAACAACACAGCCGACCACACAACAACACGACCGACCACACAACAACACGACCGACCACACAACAACACGACCGACCACACAACAACACGACCGACCACACAACAACACAGCCGACCACACAACAACACAGCCGACCACACAACAACACACCGACCACAACACACACACACACACACCGACCACACAACAACACGACCGACCACACAACAACACGACCGACCACACAACAACACGACCGACCACACAACAACACGACCGACCACACAACAACACGACCGACCACACAACAACACGACCGACCACACAACAACACGACCGACCACACAACAACACGACCGACCACACAACAACACGACCGACCACACACACAACACAGCCGACCACACACACAACAACACGGCCGACCACACAACACACGACCGACCACACACAACCGCCACCACACAACAACACAGCCGACCACACAACAACACGACCGACCACACAACAACACGACCGACCACACAACAACACGCCGACCACACAACAACACGACCGACCACACAACAACACGGCCGACCACACAACAACACGCCGACCACACAACAACACAGCCGACCACACAACAACACAGCCGACCACACAACAACACGACCGACCACACAACAACACACGACCGACCACACAACAACACGACCGACCACACAACAACACACCGACCACACAACAACACAGACCGACCACACAACAACACACCGACCCACACAACAACACACCGACCACACAACAACACGACCGACCACACAACAACACGACCGACCACACAACAACACGACCGACCACACAACACACACCGACCACACAACAACACGACCGACCACACAACAACACGACCGACCACACACACACGACCGACCACACAACAACACGACCGACCACACAACAACACGACCGACCACACAACAACACGACCGACCACACAACAACACGACCGACCACACAACAACACGACCGACCACACAACAACACGACCGACCACACAACAACACGACCGACCACACAACAACACGACCGACCACACAAACAACACGACCGACCACACAACAACACGACCGACACAACACACAACACGACAAACGACCACACCACACAACAACACGACCGACCACACAACAACACAGCCGACCACACAACAACACAGCCGACCACACAACAACACGACCGACCACACAACAACACGACCGACCACACAACAACACGACCGACCACACAACAACAACACGACCGACCACACAACAACACGACCGACCACACAACAACACGGCCGACCACACAACAACACGACCGACCACACAACAACACGACCGACCACACAAACAACACGACCGACCACACAACAACACGACCGACCACACAACAACACGACCGACCACACAACAACACGACCGACCACACAACAACACAACCGACCACACAACAACACAGCCGACCACACAACAACACGACCGACCACACAACAACACGACCGACCACACAACAACACAGCCGACCACACAACAACACAGCCGACCACACAACAACACGACCGACCACACAACAACACACGACCGACCACACAACAACACGACCGACCACACACACAACAACACACCGACCACACAACAACACGACCGACCACACAACAACACGACCGACCACACAACAACACGACCGACCACACAACAACACGACCGACCACACAACAACACGACCGACCACACACACAACAACACGACCGACCACAACACACGCCACACACACAACCACCGACCACACAACAACACGACCGACCACACAACAACACAGCCGACCACACAACAACACGACCGACCACACAACAACACGACCGACCACACAACAACACGACCGACCACACAACAACACGACCGACCACACAACAACACGACCGACCACACAACAACACGACCGACCACACAACAACACGACCGACCACACAAACACACGACCGACCACACAACAACACGGCCGACCACACAACAACACAGCCGACCACACAACAACACGACCGACCACACAACAACACGACCGACCACACAACAACACAGCCGACCACACAACAACACGGCCGACCACACAACAACACGACCGACCACACAACAACACGACCGACCACACAACAACACAGCCGACCACACAACAACACGACCGACCACACAACAACACGACCGACCACACAACAACACAGCCGACCACACACACACACAACACGACCGACCACACAACAACACGACCGACCACACAACAACACGACCGACCACACAACAACACGACCGACCACACAACAACACGACCGACCACACAACAACACGGCCGACCACACAACAACACGACCGACCACACAACAACACGACCGACCACACACACAACACGACCGACCACACAACAACACGACCGACCACACAACAACACGACCGACCACACAACAACACGACCGACCACACAACAACACAGCCGACCACACAACAACACGACCGACCACACAACAACACGACCGACCACACAACAACACAGCCGACCACACAACAACACGGCCGACCACACAACAACACGACCGACCACACAACAACACGACCGACCACACAACAACACAGCCGACCACACAACAACACGACCGACCACACAACAACACGACCGACCACACAACAACACACAGCCGACCACACAACAACACGACCGACCACACAACAACACGACCGACCACACAACAACACGACCGACCACACAACAACACGACCGACCACACAACAACACGACCGACCACACAACAACACGGCCGACCACACAACAACACGACCGACCACACAACAACACGGCCGACCACACAACAACACAGCCGACCACACAACAACACGACCGACCACACACACAACACGACCGACCACACAACAACACAGCCGACCACACAACAACACGGCCGACCACACAACAACACGACCGACCACACAACAACACGACGACCGACCACACAACAACACAGCCGACCACACAACAACACGACCGACCACACAACAACACGACCGACCACACAACAACACAGCCGACCACACAACAACACGACCGACCACACAACAACACGACCGACCACACAACAACACAGCCGACCACACAACAACACGACCGACCACACAACAACACGACCGACCACACAACAACACAGCCGACCACACAACAACACGACCGACCACACAACAACACGACCGACCACACAACAACACAGCCGACCACACAACAACACGGCCGACCACACAACAACACGACCGACCACACAACAACACGACCGACCACACAACAACACGACCGACCACACAACAACACGGCCGACCACACAACAACACGACCGACCACACAACAACACAACCGACCACACAACAACATTGGATCATTTAGTAAAACCTCTCTATAATCACCCAGGTCACGATCTTCCTGAAACACAAGGAGGAAGTATCTCTTCAAACCTTCACCAAGAGTCAAATGTATTTTTCCAGCGCTGCGTCTGTGACTCACTGCGCTCGGTTTTGGGGAAAGTTCTGTGAAATCTGGGTCAGACCGGATTTGAGTCCAGCTCCGACACGGCACTTTATCACCAGAGAGAACACACAGGAGTTCATGGAGCGGTCACAAGTCGGAGAAACATAACAAAACAACGTAAATAAACGTATTGACTTCCAAATATCAGTTTCACAGTTTACTAATTAGGACATCAGGTATCATACAAACAGTTCAAATACGTTTCAGCCTTGGCAGAGACCAACATGCACCGGGAACAGGTCTGACCTACTGCTGGTGATGCAAACCGGAAGTTCTAGGCAGAGGTCGGAGGTCAGAGGGCGTCCGGTTCGGAGACCACAGGATTTAATCTCTGCTGTTTGGACCAGGACCTGCAACATGCACTGGGACGGGTGTGGCCGAGTGTGAAGCGGCTGGGATCAGAATCAGGCCCCGGATGAGCTGGAGGAAGTGTGTGTGGAGCGTCTGGGCATCTCTGCTTAGACTGCTGCCCCCACGACCCGGCAACGGATGAAGCGGAAGAAAATGGATGGATGGCGTCTTCGAGAGTCCAGAAAAGCGCTGTCTAGAATATTATACTTATTCTTTTGTCTTCAATTTTCAAAAAGGTGGATGAAGTGAATACATTTGATTTATGGCTGAGTCCTGAGATATATTAAAGACATAAACAAACCATTTGCAGTAAAACCACATTGTAAAAACTGTGCAAGACTTCCCCAGTGCGCACCAGACGACACACACCAGAGCTCTTGCCACGGCGCCATCTTTACGGCGCCATGCGAGTTCCTGATGGCGCTCGCAGCTGGAGCGGTCAGACGGACACGGCGCTGCTCGGCCTGGTCCCAGGTCCATCCCCACAGCAGGAGGTAAATAGAACGTGTTAATCCTGTTATTTCTGAACCTTGTATTAGGTTCTAGAGGGCATTACTGTTGGAACTCATCTCTGGACTCAACAACATTTATCGATGTGTGAGGCTGCTGTCCTCTCTCTGCAGATTAACAACAGTCTCTTCAGCTCAGACTTACAGGAAATCAGCTTTTCTGTCAAATTTGTATTTACAGAAAGTAGAAAAATACGTGGCCTTACTATGACCTGTGCACGACCTCTAACAACAACTCATGTTAATTAGGAAAGGCAAGTTTATTTGTACAGCACAGTTCTTACACAAGGTTCAACTCAAAGATTAGATAAAACTTACACTCAAGATTGATCTCACAATGGAGAAATCTACAATTCGTAATAATTATTCATGAGTGAGGGCAAAGCTAAAGTGTTATGGAAAATCGTCATGAGGTTGAGTTATGGTGAGGGTTCAGTAATTAGCTGTTAATTAGCTGTTAATTAGAAAGAGCTAATATAAATGCCATGCAGGTTTTTACACAGCGATCAGAATGAACACATCTTGGCCCTTCATGACGGGGCAGTACACCCTCCATGGGCTGATGGGGCAGTACACCCTCCATGGGCTGATGGGGCAGTACACCCTCCATGGGCTGATGGGGCAGTACACCCTCCATGGACTGATGGGGCAGTACACCCTCCATGGGCTGATGGGGCAGTACACCCTCCATGGGCTGATGGGGCAGTACACCCTCCATGGACTGATGGGGCAGTACACCCTCCATGGGCTGATGGGGCAGTACACCCTCCATGGGCTGATGGGGCAGTACACCCTCCATGGGCTGATGGGGCAGTACACCCTCCATGGACTGATGGGGCAGTACACCCTCCATGGGCTGATGGGGCAGTACACCCTCCATGGGCTGATGGGGCAGTACACCCTCCATGGGCTGATGGGGCAGTACACCCTCCATGGACTGATGGGGCAGTACACCCTCCATGGGCTGATGGGGCAGTACACCCTCCATGGACTGATGGGGCAGTACACCCTCCATGGGCTGATGGGGCAGTACACCCTCCATGGGCTGATGGGGCAGTACACCCTCCATGGGCTGATGGGGCAGTACACCCTCCATGGACTGATGGGGCAGTACACCCTCCATGGGCTGATGGGGCAGTACACCCTCCATGGGCTGATGGGGCAGTACACCCTCCATGGACTGATGGGGCAGTACACCCTCCATGGGCTGATGGGGCAGTACACCCTCCATGGGCTGATGGGGCAGTACACCCTCCATGGGCTGATGGGGCAGTACACCCTCCATGGACTGATGGGGCAGTACACCCTCCATGGGCTGATGGGGCAGTACACCCTCCATGGACTGATGGGGCAGTACACCCTCCATGGGCTGATGGGGCAGTACACCCTCCATGGGCTGATGGGGCAGTACACCCTCCATGGGCTGATGGGGCAGTACACCCTCCATGGACTGATGGGGCAGTACACCCTCCATGGGCTGATGGGGCAGTACACCCTCCATGGGCTGATGGGGCAGTACACCCTCCATGGACTGATGGGGCAGTACACCCTCCATGGGCTGATGGGGCAGTACACCCTCCATGGGCTGATGGGGCAGTACTTTCTGCGTGTACTTTGTGTGTACTTTCTGTGTGTACTTTCTGTGTCTGCGCTTGTGTGTGTCTCTTCCTCTCATTGGCTGCTTCTGACAGCTTGGCTCAGTGGCATTGATGGATTGGTCAAAAGTAGAGGACAAATTTCCCTACAGAGAGAATAAAGTGAAACATAACCTTAAAATAACAAACGACAAACGACAAACGGCGACAGAGATCTGGGTGAAGGATGATGTTGTGTGTCCAGGATCTGGTGCTTGTGCGTCCATGGGATCGGATCCCTCTCCTCTCACTGTGGTTCTTCCCAAAGACAGTTTTTTAGTGCGTTTTTGCCGATGCAGGACGTTCTATGAACAGGAGACAATCTGGGCATTTATGGACGTTCAGTTCAGTTTATTCATAAACTGAACTGAACTGAATATTCATGTTGTTTCCACACATTTATTTTACTTTTTTATTCAGTCTTTATTTGAAGAGACATTGTACAGAGACATTAAGACAGAAGTGTTCTGCTCCAGGTCATAGTTAAACATCTGTTTCCATCTGCAGTCCCTGTTACATACATATGATACATGGATCCAGTAATGTACAGGCCAAGAGAAACAACACACAATACAACACACTCTCTCTGATACAGACACACACACACACACACACACACTCTGATACACACACACAATACACACACACACACACACACACACTCTGATACAAACACACACACTCTCTGATACAAACACACACACACACTCTCTCTGATACAAACACACACACTCTCTGATACAGACACACACACACACACACACACTCTCTGATACACACACACACACACACTCTCTCTGATACAAACACACACACACACTGTCTCTGATACAGACACACACACACACACTCTCTCTGATACACACACACACACACTCTCTCTCTGATACAGACACACACACACTCTCTCTCTGATACAAACACACACACACACACACACACACTTAGCCTTACACCTGTTTGTTAGCATACGCTTCATCACCTCCAGACTTACTGCATTTACGACTAAACTAAAACATGAATTGAAGGATTTCAATTGGGTGTGCGGACTCGGCGACCCAGTCCGCACACCCAACATCTGGCTCTTGGGACGTGGAACGTCACCTCACTGGGGGGGAAGGAGCCCGAGCTTGTGGGGGAGGTCGAGAGGTACCGACTAGAGATAGTCGGCCTCACCTCCACACACAGCTTGGGCTCTGAACCCAACTCCTTGAGAGGGGTTGGACGCTCCACTTTTCTGGTGTTTCCCGCGGGGAGAGGCGGCGAGCTGGGGTGGCCATACTCATTGCCCCCCATCTCAGCCGCCACGTGTTGGAGTTCTCCCCGGTGAATGAGAGGGTCGCGTCCCTCCGCCTCCGGGTGGGGGACAAGTCTCTCATTGTTGTGACGGCCTACGGGCCTAACGGCAGTGCAGAGTACTCGGCCTTCTTGGAGTCCTTGGGAGGGGTACTGGACGGTGCACCGCCCGGGGACTCCGTCATTCTCCTGGGGGACTTTAACGCCCATGTGGGAAGCGCCAGTGACACTTGGAGAGGGGTGATCGGGAAGAACGGCCCCCCTGATCTGAACCCGAGCGGTGTTCAGTTGTTGGACTTCTGTGCCAGTCACGGCCTGTCCATCACGAACACCATGTTTGAGCACAAGGGTGTCCACCAGTGCACGTGGCACCAGGACACCCTAGGCCGGAGGTCGAGGATCGACTTTGTTGTCGTATCATCTGACCTTCGGCCGCGTGTTTTGGACACTCGGGTAAAGAGAGGGGCGGAGCTGTCAACCGATCACCACCTGGGTGTGAGTTGGATCCGCTGGCAGGGGAAGAAGCCGGTCAGACCTGGCAGACCCAAGCGTGTAGTGAGGGTCTGCTGGGAACGTCTCGCTGAGACCCCTGTCAGACGGACTTTCAACTCACACCTCCGGGAGAGCTTCTCCCAGGTCCCGGCGGAGGAGGGGGATATTGAGTCTGAGTGGACCATGTTCTCTTCCTCTATCGCCGATGCGGCGGCTCGTAGCTGTGGTCGCAAGGTCTCTGGTGCTGGTCCCGGCGGCAACCCCCGAACCCGGTGGTGGACACCGGCAGTAAGGGATGCCGTCAGGCTGAAGAAGGAGTCCTATCGAGCCATGATGGTTCGGGGGACTCCTGAGGCAGCTGTCCAGTATCGGCAGGCCGAGCGTGCCGCGGCCCGGGCTGTTGCAGAAGCAAAAACCCGGGACTGGGAGGAATTCGGAGAGTCCATGGAGCATGACTATCGGTCGGCCTCGAAGAGATTCTGGCAAACTGTCCGGCGCCTCAGGAGGGAGAAGCAGTTCTTTGCCAACACCGTGTACGGTGCGGGGGGTGAGCTGCTGACCTCGACCGGGGATATTGTCGGACGGTGGAAGGAATACTTTGAGGTTCTCCTCAATCCCCCCGTCACGTCCTCCGCTCCGGAGGCAGAGGCTGAGGATGTTGGGGCGGATACTTCTGTCACCCTGGCAGAGGTCACCAAGGTGGTTGGCAGCCTCCTTGGTGGCAAGGCGCCGGGATTGGATGAGATCCGTCCTGACTATCTAAAGTCTCTGGATGTTGTAGGACTGTCTTGGCTGACACGTCTCTGCAACATCGCGTGGCGATCGGGGGCGGTGCCAATGGAGTGGCAGACCGGGGTGGTGGTCCCTCTCTACAAGAAGGGGGACCGGAGGGTGTGTTCCAATTATCGTGGGATCACACTCCTCAGCCTCCCTGGTAAGGTTTACTCCAAGGTACTGGAGAGGAGGTTACGGCCGATGGTCGAATCTCGGATTCAGGAGGAGCAGTGTGGTTTTCGTCCCGGCCGTGGAACACTGGACCAGCTCTATACTCTCCATCGGATACTCGAGGGTTCATGGGAGTTCGCCCAACCTGTCCACATGTGCTTTGTGGATTTGGAGAAGGCGTTCGACCGTGTTCCCCGGGGTGTCCTTTGGAGGGTCCTCCGTGAGTACGGGGTCCGGGGTCCTCTGCTGAGGGCCGTTCGATCCCTGTATGACCGGAGCCAGAGCTGTGTTCGCATTGCCGGCAGTAAGTCAGACCTGTTCCCGGTGCATGTTGGCCTCCGCCAGGGCTGCCCTTTGTCACCGGTTCTGTTCACTGTATTCATGGACAGAATTTCTAGGCGCAGCCAAGGGTCGGAGGGGGTCCGGTTCGGGGACCACAGGATTTCATCTCTGCTGTTTGCGGACGATGTTGTCCTGTTCCGGGCATGTCCTACCGGGAGGAGGCCCCGGGGAAGACCCAGGACACGCTGGAGGGACTATGTCTCTCAGCTGGCCTGGGAACGCCTTGGGGTCCCCCCGGACGAGCTGGAGGAGGTGTGTGTGGATAGGGAACTCTGGGCGTCTCTGCTTAGACTGCTGCCCCCGCGACCCGGCAACGGATGAAGCGGAAGAAAATGGATGGATGGATGGAAGTTCTTGAAACGTCACAGGAGTTGTTTGATCATAACATCCTGCTGTATTGATTATGTCAATGGCATGTTTTTATAATAACACGAAAACAATGACACAGTGTGGGCCACATGCACCAACGACCAACGTGTTTTACTGCTGTATTTCTTGATATAATTGACTTTGTGTTCTGCTGCTTTGCGATGCCCTTTGAGACGACAAAAACAAACATAATTGAATCGCAATACTTTTTTATATTTTCTTTAATTAGCAATGTGCAGATTTCAGTCAAAGAGTCACAGACATCCTTTGGAGACCTCTCAAGATTTTATTAAATGCCAAAGTCTTTCCACCTCTGTTCCTCCAGACGCCCATTAATACACACACACACTCAATAAGCAGCAGCTGTCAGCGGCAACACACACACACACACACACACACACACATACACATACACATACACATACATATACATATACATATACATACACACACACACATACACACATACACACCTACACACATACACACATACACATACACACATACACACACACACACACACACACACATACACATACACACACACACATACACATACACACACACACACACACGTACACATACACATACACACATACACATACACATACACACACATACACACACACACAGACACACACATACACATACACACACACATACACGCATCACTACGGACTCTTGCCATGGGATCATTTGCATCCATTGTCCCACATTCGCTCTCACAAACACACACTCAGTCATTCACCCTGAACTATTGCACATGTTTTTAGGGATTTGAACCCAGAACCTTCTTGCTGAGAGGCGAGAGTGCCATCAACTAGAGCTCCAACAGTATTGCTTCCAGAGTGTATCGAAGACGGATACTTCGGTCCCTATTTTTTTAACGATTACATTTTCACGATAACAAAAAGAGACGTGAAGATTCTCCCTTGGACTGAGAAGAAAAGTGCTCCAGAGGCAGCGTGTGTTTAAAATGTAAATTAAATTAAATTAGCAGAATGTGGGTATAATTAAAAGATAAGATGTTTTAAGTCAAAATGTACTCGGTCACGTGCAGAGAGAAAGACTGTTATTTTGCCCCAAGTCCAATTAGTCTAAGTGAATGTATACAGTAGGATTTACAGAAGCTGAGTTCATGTTTTCACTTGTTTTTGAAGTGGAAAAGTCAATGTCATGATTTTAGTTCAGCCGTGCATCCACCCCAGAGACCAACCTCTCTGACAGATCCACCGTACTTGATTCAGTACCTTATATTCTATTATTTTTGCAGTGTATAGAGCCTCAACGTTCTCCAGTAAAATGTTTTGAGTTTTGAGTGCGCTGACATGCTGCAATACCTGTTATTATTATATACCACTTTACAGGAGGGTCCAAAAGTCGGCTCTTGGCCCAAAGCTCCGTTCCACATGTGTGTCAATGCTGAGGGGAGATGCATTTTTTCACATTTTCCAGCCCCCGCGGCCATTTTGAAACTGCCCACAGACCGCGGAAGTTTACAGTCTATGGTTAAGAGTGCGGTCTTTTCTGCTGCACATGGACAGTCCTCAGAGACCCCCAGTGTTAGTATTCTGCAGCAGCGAGCCACAGCCGCAGG